AACCAGACACATGGTACTTGCAAAAGGAATCAGGAGCCTGGCCCTTGGATTCTGCSTTATGGTAGTGTGATAGCTTGTGAGGGATGTAGTCAAATGATGGGCACTCTGTATGCCTTTGTTAAGTGACCCTTGAAGTAATCATTAGGGGTAAAATGAGAATCATGCACTGCTCAGTTTCTACTCCCTGTGCCAGCTGTTGCTGACTAATGCTTAGAGACTGAGACCACGTAGTCAGGGGAGCTCTGGTACGCTGACAAAGGAGGCAACAAGATATGGGGCACCATCAAGAGAAGGAGAGCACTAGCATGCTTATATATTGTACTCTTTGGACTGACACTGTGACCATGTAACACCCTGGTGCACCTACATTTTGAGCAGYGTRGACTTCTGTAGAGCYAGACACCACAGAGAACAGCAAACAYTGATTTGTGGGATGGAGCAGCATCCTCCCAAAAAAATGAGAGTTTTGAGTCTTTAGGCTCAAAGGAAAAGCTCAGAAAGGTATGACCCATGACCCAAGTGAAYGGAATGAAGCTGTGTCATGGCAGGTTCAGACTGGACATTAGGCAAAGGGCCTCCAGAGGGTGGTGAAGCAYTGAACAGGCTTGCCAGCACAGTGATAACAGCCCCAAGGTTGCCAGAGTTCAAGGAGCGTTTTGACAAGGCTCTCAGGATCAGGGTGGGATTCCTGGGGTGTCTGTGCAGGGCCAGGAGTTGGACTCGACGACGCCACTCAGMATGTTTGATGAGTCAGTGCTCTGGCCAGCAGCATCCCCAAAAAGTCATGTCCCAGAGCAGGCGCTACACGGGGACTGCTGCCCCGTGACCGGCCCGGGCAGCGACACYGTGAGCGCAGGACGTGGCACAAGAGCAGCTCTGCCTGCCTGGGAGAAGGAGCGGAGGAAAAGGCCGCACACGGGACGGACACCCGCGGGCAACTGGCCCCGCTSCGGCAGCCACGGTACCCACGRYRCCCACGGCAGCGAGCGATCGGGCCAAGGGGCTCCGTAACGAACCGGCCCACAGGGACGGCACCTAGACCGCCGCCGAGCGCCTCAGGAACGAAGCGGGCCAAGGGGGCTCCGTAACGAAGCGGCCCACGGGGACAGCACCCAGAGCGCCCGCCGAGCGCCTCAGGAACGAACCGGGCCAAGGGGGAGCCGTAACGAACCGGCCCAGAGGACAGCACCCAGAGCGCCCGCCGAGCGCCTCAGGAACGAACAGGGCCAAGGGGGCTCCGTAACGAAGCGGCCCACGGGGACAGCACCCAGAGCGCCCGCCGAGCGCCTCAGGAACGAACCGGGCCAAGGGGGCTCCGTAACGAAGCGGCCCACGGGGACAGCACCCAGAGCGCCCGCCGAGCGCCTCAGGAACGAACAGGCCCAGGGGACAGCACCCACACCGCCGCCGAGCGCCTCAGGAAGCGCGGGCCCCGCGCGCACACAGCGATCCGGCCGGGCCGGGCCAGCCCCGCCCCCTGCGCATGCGCGCTGCCGCCCGGAGCCGCCGTCAATCGGGGCGTACGCGGCGCGCGGGGCCCGCGGTGAGCGGTGCCGTCCGGCCGCGCGATGCATTGTGGGTGCGGCTGAGGAAGTAAAATGGCGGACCTGGCGAACGAAGGTAGGTGGGAGGTGTCGGYGTCGCTACCCTGGCTCACACCGGCTCCGCGCTGCCGTGAACTTGGCCCGGCCCTGGCCCGACCTTGCTGTGCGCGTTCAGGGGCGCGCCCGGGAGCGCCACCTCCCCGCGGCCGTCCCGGCCCCTGTGAGGCGAGCGGCCGGACAAAGGGAGCGCCTCGGCCGGGCCACCGCGCTGCCCGCGAGGCGGAGGCGGAGGGAGCCGGGCTGGGGCTGCGTCCTCAGGTGACTCCTGCGGATCGGTGGCTCCGGGCTCGCGATGCGGCGACTCCCGGGGCCGGCGGTCAGCGGCGGGTCGGTGCTCCCTGGAGGCGGACAGCGGGCCTGGCGCTGGGCACGGGCCCTGGAGCGCGGAGCGAGCGCTGCATCTCGGGCCCGAGYAGGCTGTGAGCCGCTTTGTGCCCTGCCTTGTCCACTTGCTTTTTGGAATTACTGTCTACAACTTTAGCACCACTGTAAATCTGTCCTTTAGTTACASTCATGTTAATCCTACCTTTTGTTAAAGGATTAGTAGAAGGGTTTTGTAAACCAAGATGGGATATCATAGTTGATGTATTTCATTTTTTGAAGCTGAAAACATCAGAGGTTCACAGTAAGGTGGCTTCACTTTTTCTTTTTTTTCCTAAAGAGCATTAGGAGAACCTTGGCTGCAATACTCGAGTATTTGGATATTCTGCCCCAAGGGGTTTACAGTGATGTTTTAAGTGGCAGGGGGGTATCTCTGTTTTGCCTTTGGGAATGACTAATGTCTCTTAGTTTTTRGCAAAAGCCAGCTTGCCCTCTGTCTCTTTGTTTCTCATCACTCTCAGCTAATGGGAGAGGGAAAGAAATGCCCAGAGGGAGGTGAATGGAAGTGTGTGTGAGGCTCCTTCTTTAAGACTTTCTTACATTTGAACGCTGTATCAGTGGCATTTACTGTTCTGATATTAATATTAAACAAGAGGAAGTAAATAAACGTTGTAGGTGCAGCCTTTGAAGATTAAGCCTACAAGCAGCTAACAATATACAAGTRTACTTAAGTTAGCAAATCCTGTGATGCAGCATATCCTGGGCTGTTGGCTTCCAGACTCATGAGGAGTTGTGGTGCCCAAGGAGGTGATAAGTGGTCTTGACAGTGGTAGTAGCCAAATCTGTAATGACTATTTGTGAGAAACTTAATGTCAGTATTTACTTTATATACTGCCATTATAATGAGTTATAACCCATTTAATAGGTTATTTTGTTATTTTAGAACCAGAATATTAGCAACAGCTATCTTAAATCATGCAAGCCCATCATTTTACCTCCCTGTTCTGTGGGGGAACATTAAGTTTACCAATTTTTGTTATTTGATGATGACTTGTCGTGTGTTTCTATCTCTACTTCTGTATTTCTGCAGGGTCTTACACACTTTCTGGGATGGCAGTGGGAGTGTGATCCCATCCTTACTACCCTTTCCTGCCTCCAGGGACTTACCTCACCTGTAAACCTCTTTAGCTTATATTTGCATATCCTTCCAGAGTTTCTGCCTTCATCTGTTGCTGTTCTGTTTCTTCTTGTGATAAATAAGAATGTGATACCATCTTTTCTCCAATTAAGCCAAATCAGCTTGCTTTGCAACTGTTGTCTCCTGCTCTTTCTAATATCATTGACTGTTGCTAGTTTGCTTCCCTCCAGTTCCATTTTTGAGGCGTATGTTCTTCGTATAACAGTGGAAATACATGCAGTTTCTGGAATCTGCATTTTTCTGCTGAAATGCAGAGAATTCTGTAATCTTTCTACTTACCTAATTTGGAGTCTCTGCCATGGCAAAGATCTTCTCTGATGACTGTTTTCTCCTCATTCTTAAACACATCAGTTAGTTTTATTTTTCCATTATTTAGGTGAATGGTTAACTTCCTTGTGCCTGTGTATTTTCATATGAGTATTTGAAGTAACTGTTTTGGTACTGATGATTTTTTGACCTTCTGCTTCATCTTGATCTTCTGTTGTTTATAGTATTTGATAGCTAAATGATCATATTCACAAAAAAGTGTGATTACAGCAAAGTTCTTAACGTTCCTTAATCTTGATTGATCTGTACAACAGTGCTGTCACAATCATACTTTGTTGTGAAGTGTGAAGCTAATTTTTCTTTGATATGTAGTAGGCAYAAGTACCTAGAATAAGGTTTCAGTCATTCTTGTGGACTGGTTTTGTTTTTATTGTTTAGATAGTCTGTTCATGCAGTTGAAACACAAGATTCTTACCTGTTTGATTGCTGCAACAAACCTTCTTCTGGTCTTGAAAAGCGTTGAGTTTCATGCTGCCAGTGTCCCCTCATTTTACTAGTTAAAAACTCTTACTAGCAAAACGCTTTTAACCTGTAACTTTTACCATGACACCCCTCTTTCAATTCATTAATTAGTGTTTCTGTTTCCAACAGCATATTCGTTATCTTTACCTTCTAGGTTCTGGTATTGAATGTCTTATATCACCGCTGAACTGTCTGTATTGACTCCAAGAAACCATTCTACCAATGTCCCTTGCAACTTCARACTATTTTAATGGATGATCTTTCTGTGATGCATTTCTTCAAAGCTACAAGCATTTCCTCTAATAATGACTTCTTTTCTTAATTCTTACTGTTCCTCAAATATTTTTCATTCGCTTGTCTTTCCTTTGTTTCTAGTCAGTAGATGAATCTGCTCCCCTACTTCTTTATACTGGGATGATGGCCAGCTGTATATTGACAGAAGAAAGTTGTTGCTTTAAGGGGTCCTCTGTTGCATAGAAGGGGGCTGAATGACGAGATAGTCCCAGTGCCACTTTCCAAAGAAGTTGGTACTGTGAAATTTCCGAGGAGCAGAGTCTGGTCTTGGCATTGCCTGTCATGTTGAGAGATGAGCTGTTGAGTGTGGAGCTAGTGAAGAGGAGTCACTTCTCCCTAGCTGTGTGAAGTTTGATTGACTGTGCTGCTAGGATTTAGTGACATTGTGATAAAGGCTTTGGGGACTGTCATTGTGAGGGTGATGCTTGAAAACCAGGATTTTAGAATAGTAGGCACAATTKTTATTGTTATTAATGTCTAAAGTAGTTACTAAATGTTCTTAGAAACTTTCTCTGAATTCTTTGGTAYTTCACTGCCACATGGGTGAAGTGTCAGTTTTAAGATAATCCAGGTAGAATACCAAAGAGAACCAGCATTTCCTGTCTATTCCTGTAGATTCATGGGCACCTGAATGCTTTTCTCATTAACTACAGCTAATACACAACTAGTAATTTCCTTTTCTATAACTTACTGCTGAAGCTGCACTTTAAGATAACAGGATCCCCTTGTGTGGGGAATRAATTACTTTATCTTTTCAATGGCTGAAAGGTGATACATACTTTTCTCAGGGCTAAAATTTGATGAATGTGTTCACATTTCCCTTTCAGGAGTGTCTGCAACTTACTTGGCTTTATGAAATTACTGAGCATAAAGTTCACAATCATAACAGGTTTACTGTATGTAACTGCCTTAATTTAATTAGAGGCCATCACTGCAGGAAGGGTTCTGGAGATCCTGGTCAATGGCAAGTTGGATCTGAGTCAGCAGTGCCCTGGAGCCAGGAAGGCCAACTGTGTCCTGGGGGACATCTGGGGGGACATCCTACGGTCACCTGGCCAAGGGAGGGCATTGTGTCTCTGCTCTGCACTCGGGCAGCCTCACCTTGAGTTCTGAGGGCAGTTTTGGGCACCATAGTATATAAAAACATTAAGCTAACAGAGAGGGTCCAAAGAAGACCACAAGGATGGGGAAAGGTGAGAGGAGAAGCCTTATGAGGAGCTGCTGAGGGGACTTGGTTTGTTCAGCCTGGAGAAGGGGAGACTGAGGGGTGACCTCAATGCAGTCTTCAGCCTCCCCATGAGGGGAAACTGAGGGGCAGACACCAATCTCTACACTCTTGTGACCAGTGATGGAGCTTGAAGAAACCAGCATGAAGCTGAGTCGGCAGGTTTAGGTTGGGTACCAGGAGAAGATTTTCCACCCARAGGGAGGTTGAACACATAAGGCTTCTCAGGGCAGTGGTCACAGCACCATACCTGAGTTCAAGAATTGTTTGGACAATGTTTTCAGTCATRTGGTGGCATTTTTGGGGTGGTCTGCGCAGGGCCAGGAGTTGGACTCAGTGTTCCCTGATGGGTCCCTTTCAGCTCAGTTTATTCTGTGATTTTATGAAATGCACAGAAGGTGAGCAAACAGAAGCAGTTCCTTTCAGACTAATCAGTGTAATTTCTTGGCCAGACTTGTAGGATGCTAACATTGCTTCTGTGCTGCGCTTGTGTTTCTGGTCTGTTTGTTTTTTTTCTTTTCCTTATGTTTATTTTACTCATTTCATGGTAGCTTTTGGACAGAGGACAGTCAGCTGTTAATTTGAGGGATAATGTGGCACTCACCACTGACTTGTTTGCGGACTCTAAAAACAAGACTTTTTTTTTTTTTCCTATACAGACTTCCGATGGATTAGTGGGTGCAAAGTTAGGCTGAGTGAYATGTCCTAATAATTCATACCCAGACTCCATGAAGATCTATTTGATTGACAAGATAGAGCTATCTMAATGCTTTAATACTTTTTTGTTAACATTTTTTGGAATTCGTTATAAATGCTTTMTCTACATTGCAAGTAGTTGGTCTACCTCATGGCTTTCTTTTTCCTCTCATGTGAAAATAAGCTAGTTTTTCTTTTCTGACTTGTTATATTTGCAGAAGTGTCTCTTTTCCCCATGTCACTTGTAGTCATCATGACATCACTTGTGAAGTTTGGCAATAAATGATCCAGTTGTGTTTCTCGTTCTTTGACATGAAGTATGGCTGGATCTTTCTTGTGGAGGTCTTTTTGCAGATCAGCTCTTGGTGTGGCAGCTTGCTTTTTGCTTTGAGTCTATTCTTAGCTATTTAAAGAGAATCTTTTGTTATCAACACTTTTAGAATTTTATAGYGCCACAAATTGTCTGTATCTCTACRTATRTTATATTTAGCAT